CTACTGACTACTACTACTACTGCTGCCGTACTGCTACTACTTTTTTTCTGCTACTTGTGCCACTGTTGCCGCTTCGCTTTATTTTCCAAACTTGGCAAAATTGTGGTCCTAAAAGGGCATGCAAAGCACATGGGGCACGCACGTTATAAGAATTACTGCTTGTGAAGTCTTTTAGGGATCCCAAAGCGGAATCCCGTAGCCACATCCCACAAGCCTTGACGACCAACAGCCTGACGGAGGAAGTCCAGCGAGACCTATGGTGCCTGAGCTCACACGGGAAGGACTAGATTCGAACAATGCCTGGTATCATTGCTCATGCTACTGGAGCTTCAGCTAGTGCCTGTCAGATCGTGGGACGAAGTCAGCTTCGGCCAATTGTGACCAGCTGATTCTGATGTGAGCGTCGTAAGACCCGCAAAAGGAAACTGCCAGCCAATAAAGATATTCATTCGGGGGGCGTCTCATTTGAAGGCGACCGCCGGCAGTTGATCTCCTGCATGTCACTGCATGTCGGTGACTGTGGTGCTGCTGTAACCTCGTGGATGCTCCTTCGTGAGGTGCGCCTCACACAATCTTCTTGAACATCAGCGCTTCAAGGACTGCACGTGCTCGGAATGTGGGATGGCCAGGTTGGCCTGGTTGTCTTCCTGGTTTGCTTTAACTTCTGACCCGCTAGACCCTTGAGGGGAACCCATAGTCACCCTGTCACAGCCCTGACAATCAGTACATTCCACCATCGGAATTGTCTGCTGGCCGAGCCTGCGAAAGTAAACGCAGCAGCTTCGCGAAGAGGTTGTTGAGGCTCAACATGACCAGCGTTTATTTGCAGCCTTTGACGATTCATGGGGGGGAGCGCCAGCCCGAGCAGTGGCCAGAACGACAAAGGAGAGAGATTCTCCAGAGCCGAAGCTTCCCAAATCCTGGTGCACAGACCCCGTCGAGCTCTCTATAAATATATACCGAAGCCTGTAGCATTATCCAGGTTTAGTGTGTGTGTGTGTTCTGATTGTCGTTCGCTTTATCGCTCTTGCTTCGGTAGTGCTGTTTATGTGTTATTGTTGGCCTCATCGTTGTCATTGCTGCCTGGAGCCCTGAACAAAGTACCTACATTGGACCTATATTTTCCCTGCAACAGAGCTCTCGGAAGGGATTCTCTGGACATGGACCTTGTCACAGTGGGCAAGCTGCCTACCATGATCGGCGAGTCGAGCTCAGCTACTTGGCTTATGGCTGGAAGCCTTTCTTTTTTTTACAGGTTTTGGTTTTGAGCCTTTAAAGTGCGGTGGGTCGGCCTGCGGAGGCAAAGAGGCTTCGGGCACGTGTTTGCCAGGATTCATTTCCACATCCAACCATTGAATAAGCAGGGTTTGACGGCTGTTGGGTGAGAAGGCTCACTGGTAGCTCTTCACCCCTTCAAGTGTCGGGCGTAAGCGGGGGGTCATATTAATCTTATTATCTGAGGGAGATTGAAGGTGAAGCCATGAAAGCCTTGCCCTGAAACTCCAAAGCACTGCATTCAAACTGCGCACGACTTTCTCCTTAGATTGGCATTGAGAGTCCGGGCGCACTCTTTCAGCTGAAGTCTATACCGAGCCTCGGCCGAGCCCCTTTGAAGCATGACCCTAAAGCCTTAGGCTGGCGCCACGTGAGAGTTTCCCTGCGAACCATGCACCCACCTCGCCTGTAGGCATCAAGAACCCTAAACCCCAAACCCTTAGGCAAAATTACACCTAAACTCTTAAACCCTTAGGCAAACAAAAAGAAACCTAAACCCTAAAC